GGTCCGCCAAGCCTTTGTGTCGGAAATGAGGTCGTGGGAAAGGCAAAACTCGGCCACGTAGCGATGCATGACTCACCCGAAAATCAATAATAAATCCACGGCCGACATTAGCACTGACAGAAGCGCTGCTCCGAGGTTTCTCATTTTCTGACAGTTAATTGACAGAGCTGTTTTTTGTAGTTTCAGGTCATCGTCGACCATCTTTGCAAGAAAAGTGATGCTAAAATCGTTTGAGGCGGCTGGACGCGGGAGGACCGAGTTAAACCGGCGTAGAATTATGTGCAGGAAGCTATATATGGTTGAAATGCGAAATTCCGGTTCGCTGTTAGTAGTTTAGTCCCACTCTCAATGTTTCTAATTTGTCAGTCAGCGTCGTACATTTTTCAATTTTGCTGCTTACGGCTGCCAGTCTGCTCTGTGAACGTACCATGTAAATTTGCATATATGTTCACCGATTAACAATGTCCGCACCAACGTAAAGGGCAGTGCTAGCAAAACTGTGTTCTCTCAGCCGCACGTTCAAAATCCAAACTTGCCAAAAACTCCATGGATAAGAATATAATCAAAAACAGACGTCGGGGGATGATTGGTTTGCAACATAGAGTCCAACATCTTGTCATCAGATCATGAGACGGTCTGAAACGAAGATATGACAAAGGAATTGGTAAAGTTTAACTGCCAGGCAATAGCCAGGAACCCACACAGCCTCAACACCGTCTGAAAAACACATGCTATGAGACAGAATGATTCCTTTATTAGGCCAGAAAATTATTAGTTGACGGTCCGTTACACCACCAGATGGTTGACAGTTTACTTCGAAAGACAATTCAGGCAGCATGTGAACGTTAAAATAGGACGAATCTTGTCCCGCTGTCCGGAATAAACACGCTGATTCTTGTTTCGCCCAAAAAAGGACCAATGAAAGATCGGTCGGAATCACTTATCTGCCCCTTTTCCCCCTCTTCCGACAGGATACGGGAATATGAATGCCTCCCCCCTCTCATGTAATACAAATGATCTTGTAATCAATTCCAAGAGGGTTAATATTCCCGTTTCCTAACCTTAGACCAAAGCTGAACTACAACTCTATCCTTAGTCCCAACCATAAACTAAACCTCAGTCTTAGCCCAAAGCCAAACCCTAGACGTAACCTTAACCCTTTTTTCCCTGGAATTCAGTGCAAAGTCACCTTGGTTACGAGCGGTTCCTATTTCATCGCCTGCCGGGCAGGGGGGCGGCATATAAGTAATATATACCGAAAAATCGGCATTTAAATTATTTTTGGGATCATTATGCAATTTAAATATTACTCAGGACCGATAAGATGAGTCTAGGCGCATGGTAAGTAATAAGGTTAGATAAGCGCTGACGATATGTAACGTCGGAAGGCTGCATGCTCCACCCAACATCATAAAGAATACGCGTGGACTGAAAGCACCCTAATCTTCAAAGGGCTAGTTGGAGACATAGTCTTGCCTCTTATAAATGAGTGAACTGCACAATTTATCTGGCGCCATTCGCAGAAAGATGTAGATAAGAGGGTAGACGACCGACACAGCCAAAAACAGTCATTATTTCCAGGTATTTCTGTACAATTAGGGCTGCTTTCTGGGGGATACTGACTTACTGCGCTCGCTGAAAACTCCTGCATTTATGAGGGCGAAAATAAGGTAATAATCCTTTTTCTACAGACTCAAATATCAGGTAAAGTGACTGATGACAGAAGACAACCATCTGAGCAACGAATATAAAAAGATGGGCATGAAGACTCTGAACGCATCCTAATCGCGTATTCAATGACTTCGTCATTTTATTGAATCTATTATACTTCCATTTGCACTGTGATCAGGCTTACCTGGCCGCGCGTTGCAATTTCACCGTTACTCAATAGGCCGAGGTTTGGTAATAAGCAGACCGTTTTGCTCGAGCTCCATTTCGACTCCTATTTCCTATCATTCTATGCCGACTACATTGTTAATTTTAGGGTCACCGTAAAGGTCTACTGGAATCTTAGACACTCATGCTACCTTCGCCGTCTTATAAATGCTGCAGTAACTTGGCTGTGGCCAGGTATGCATGTCTAAGCCAGCTACGGACGAGCGAACGGAACTATTCCGCAGTGCCCATGCTGTATGCGTTTTTGCTACAGCCTTTTGCACTCCATATCTGCACATGAAAGAATAGATGACGGACAGATAATATTGCCGACAAAGACAAGGGTGACTTTGCTTATCTGCCCCCCCCTCCGACAGGGCACGGGAATAGGAACGCCCCCTCCCCCACCCTGAATTGACGTGAAAGAAAGCTTGTTCAAAAATAAGAGCTAGTCTCGGCCTTCGCAGTCTGAGATATCGTTCCCATCATACTGGAAAGATGAAGCTTTTAGGTTGTTTAACGATTTCTGCTGCCTTAGGTCAATATTCCCATCGAAAGAATAAGATGGGCAAGCAATCGACCATTGGATAGACGAGGCATACATGCTAGAAGTTGTGTGACCTCAGCCAAAAGACTTAAATAACATTACATGCGGCCTCCGTCAATACACTTCATATATAAGTGGGACATACCCGTGCACTCCGAAGATACAGTCTATGGTAGCCGCGGTTTGGTTCTCTAATGAACGTCTAAACGATCTGTGACGAACCCATCCGGTAAACTTGTGTGTTGCAGCGACCTGAAGGTAAGATGGCCTGGCATGCAAGGCGGTCCTGTTTGATTTAGACAGTCTACGCTGGAACAAGAACGATATTCAACGAATATTTCGTATTCCTGCTCGAACCCATTATCCGATACGGTTACTTCATGTACAAGGAGTTGCAGTATTTATAGGATTCAGTCGGCATGCTACTACGTAACTATGACAGTTACCGCCCCCCCATTGTAGTCAGGATTATTGTCTTTTGCTGTAATAGCTGCTTGATGGCGCTGGCATGCGATTCGTTAGTCCTTGAAATTTTATCACCCCTGTTGGATGTTTCTTCGAGCAAGAATCTGAAATTTCGGGTGAAGAAATTTCTTGTTGCAGCAATCGCATCTAATTCTTCTTAACCGCTTATTGAGACTCGCAT